TATTGGGACAACTGAATAAACACTCAGGAAAACATGAAACTGAATCCATACCTCATACCACATACAAGGATATACTCCAAATGAATAAACTATCTAAATGTAAAAATTGGAACCACACAAATACCAGAAAAAATATGGGTGATTTCACTGACAACCGGGAAGGAGGGAAAGCCTTTCCTATTTGCCTATGAAAAGCACCACTATTTGCAAAAAGCACAGAAAAAAATAAGGTTTTAAAAACAACTAATGTTTTTCCTATATTAAAAGGGCTAATTTCACAGTATAATAAAGAGCTCCTTAAAGAAGGAAAGAAAAAGACAACTTCTCTTCTCCAAAACAGAGTCTACAAAAACAAATGGGCAAACCTCAGAAAAATAAAGGCAAATGGCCTTAAACATAAAAATATGTTCAACCTCGTTCATAAAAGAAATGCAAATCAATACCTCCAATTTTGACCATATACACTTTTGGTAAAGCTGTGGAAAAGCATGCTCAATACTGGCATACACTGCCAATGAAAAGCATAAATGAGGGCCTGGAGCAGTGACTCACACCTGTAACCCTAGCACTCTGGGAAGCTGAGGCTGACAGATCACCTGATCCTAGGAGTTTGAGACCAGCCTGGGCAACATGGTGAAATCTCATCTCTACTAAAAAATACAAAAATTAGTTAAGCATGGTGGCACATGCCTGTAGTCTCAGGTACCTGGGAGGCTGAGGTGGGAGGATCACTTAAGCCTGGGAGGTCGAGGCTGTAGTGAGCTATGATCATGCCAATGCATTCCAGCCTAGGTGACAGAGTGAAATATTGTCTCAAAAAAAAAAAGAAAAAAAAAGATAAAGAAAAACACAAATGATATAACCCCTGTAGGGAGGAGTTTTTAATATCCAACAACATTACACATAAATTTACCACTCCTACTTACAAGACACAACTCCACAAATATTCCACAAATATTTGCAAATATATTCACTGTGGCATTATTTGTAATGGTAAAAGACTAAAAACAATCTGAATGTGCATCAAAAGAAGCTAACTGAATAAACTATGCATTCACACAATAGAATACTATGCATCTATAAAAAAGAAAAAGGAAGCTCTCCATATACTAATATAGATTAATATCAAAGATACATTGTTAGGTTAAATAACAACAGCTATAAAGGCACTAATCCCACTCATGATAAAAAGAAAAAAAAAACAGGTAGGTACAGAACAAGCTGTATTCAGCATATTACCTTTTGTGACATAAAGGGGAAATTTAAAAATATGTACATATATGCAAAGACAAATATACATATATTTATTTATTTTTGTAAAAGAAAACTCAAAGTGTAAATAAGACATTAATCACAATGGTTACCTATAGGGGCAGAGTTGGACTCGGGTGAAGGTAATAGGGATGTAATCAAAACTTCTGAGTTCTCTTTTGATATACTTTAGATATTTAAACCATACAGTGACTTACATAACCCAAATAAATAAATAGTGAGTGGTATATGTAATATCCATGTGTGTATGTACGTATCTGTGTACACACATATATTTGTGACTGGAAGCAATTATCATTGAGTCATGGGATTACAGTACCATTTTCTTCTTTGTCCCTTGCTAAATGTCCCCAGTTGCACATAATGTACATTACTTTTACAGTCAGAAAGGAATTACTCCAAAGAAATCCATTTTTATAGAAAATTTTTCAAAGTACTCATCATAAAACAATCTCAAAATTAACAGCCATTCAAGCTGGGTGTGGTGGTGTGTGCCTGTAATCCTAACTACTTGGGTGGATGAAGGGGGAGGATCGCTTGAGCCCAGAAGTTTGAGGCCAGCCTGGACAACATAATGAGACCCTGCCTCAAAAATAAATAAATAAATAAACTGTTCCAGTCTACTGTTTTTCTTTTTCTTTTCTTTCTTTTTTTTTGAGACAGAAATCCCCACCTCCTGGGTTCAAGCGATTCCCTTTCCTCAGCCTCCCAAAGTAGCTGGGATTACAGGCACCTGCCACCACACCCAGCTAATTTTTTTTTTTTTTTTAGTTGAGATGGGGTTTCACCATGTTGGCCAGGCTGTTCCTGAACTTCTGACCTCAGGTGATCCATCCTCCTCGGCCTCCCAAAGTGCTGGGATTACAGGCATGAGCCACTATGCCAGGCCCAGTCTACTGCTAAATAATATAATTCACTAGGGAAGCAAAAATGATTAAAGATGTCGTACCACTTTAAAATATGGCAGTTTGTCCTTTCCTTAACATGTTGAGTTCAACTAACACAGACAGCTGCACACATATATATTTATAAACAATGCACATATACTATCACACCAGTATTGTCTAAATAGTACATACACACACGAAATGGAAATTTAAAAAGGATACAGTAAAAAAGAAATAGAAGTTCTATTGCTTTCTTTGTACAGCACAATGAACAAGTTTTTCATATAATCCCAGAAGCACACAAAACCCACTAGGGGGATCACTGGAACAAACTACTCCATATCAGAAGACGTGTGAATTTGTATTCTAGTCTCAGCCATCTTACTGCCTGCAAATATCTTTGATCAAAATCAGTTAAGGGGCTTGATTTGTATTTGTTTCCTCTTCCAAAAATTGGTGTATTAATGGTTTTAAAGTTACTTTCAGTATAACAGTTTCATAGTCTTACTAGTCTCTCTAATAATTATTCTCTTTTAAAAGAAAAACTCCAACAATTTGGAAAATTAAAAAAGAAACAAGAATGTCTCACAGTTAACCATCTTACAGGAGGCTATGGTCTTCTATAAGAAAATTCTAAACGAACAAATGAAGAGCCAAAAAAACCAGATCATATTGCTTGCTATCTTGATGTGAGAAAAATCAAATTCAAGCCTGCATTATATAAAATAAATTGTCCTGAATAAAATAATTACCTTTAAAACAATTCAGCACTATTTGTGTGCCACCCAAAAATGAGAAAATCATAAACACACTTGTACAATTTTGTACCCAAGGTTCTTTCTCAGGTATCTGAGCACTAGAATTTTACTTATTTTTTATTTTTTTCCAAACCCACTTGGTTTCTTGGGATGACATTTATTCTTAAGCTGACATTTCATGTAGTCTACAAATAGAATAGGAAAATTTTCTATTCATCTGCTACAAGCAATAATAGTCAAATACGTTAAAGGAAAACAATCCAAATTAGTAAAAAATGGTTTTTTAGAGGTAGACAACAGTATTCCAAAAGACAATTTTTAAAATGCCACACCATCTTTCTTTTCACTCTAATCTCTTCCCTTTCGCCTACTTTTCTACCTAGCATTCATATTACACAGAATACCAGATATCAGCCAATACATGCCAACATGAAAAACAAGAAAAAGAGCTTCCTATTGTTCAATGCTTATCGAACAAATAAAAAGAAAAGAAAAAGAAAAAGCTTTGTAATTTCCAAAGGAGGAGTGATATTGGCAAGGCAGTAAATAGTCATTTGAACTTGTCCTCTCCAAATGAGACAGCCAGATGTGAATGTACATTTAACTAATGGATATGTTTCAAGATCACTGGAGATAGAGAGGTAGGAGAAGGAGGCAATAATGCCAGTATGCTATTTCCTGAGCTTAAACACAGAACAAAGTGTTAACAACTTATATATCATTTTACTATTTAAGAGCACTTTTACATACTTTATTTCATCTCATCCTTAAATTCTTGACAATTGGTCAGGTGCAGTGGATCATGCCTGTAATCCTAGTACCAGCACTTTAGGAGGCCGAGGGGAGCAGACTGCCTGAGCTCAGGAGTTCAAGACCAGACTGGGCAACGCGGTAAAACCCCATCTCAACTAAAAAATCAAAATTAAAAAAAAAAAAAAAGCCAGGCGTGGTGGTGTGCGCCTTTAGTCCCCACTACTTGGGAGGCTGAGGCAGGAGAATTGCTTGAACCCAGGAGGTAGAGGTTACAGTGAGCCAAGATCGTGTCACTGCACTCCAGAATGGGCAACAGAGCAAGACTCCATCTCCAAAAAAAAAAAGGAAAGAAAAAATCCCTGACAATTATGTTCTATATACATTTTTCATGTGAGGAAACAAAGGCTTAGACAGGTTAACATTAATGTCATAGAGCTAACAGTGGGCTTTAAACTCAGAAGTAAATGATAATAAATAAGACATTTCAAGAAGAAAAGTGTGATTATGATTTAAAATGACCTTAGTTCCTATAGCTTCTGTGGGTGGAGGGGAAAACAAACAAGACAATAAAATAAAATAAAAAATAAAATAACCTTAGAAAAGTGTTTTTTATAGTTTCTAATCAAGTACTTCAATCAGTAATTCACTATAAAAGACTTTCATTACCAGTTAAATACTAAATAATAACTTCAATTTGTCACCAAAATTACTAATAGATCACTCATTTCAACTACAAAGACTAAAAATATGTACCATATAATCAGACACCTTACATTTTTAAACAGAATAACATTATTAAACTATTAACAGCATGAAGAAAGATGCTTTCACTGGCAACAATAACTTACAATATTGAGAAATCTGTGCATAAGTTTACATATTTAACTTAAAATCTTTCCTCTTTACATTCAAGTTTCTACTATTTCAAATACACAGCTCATTGTATTCCCACTGCCTATTTTTTAATCCTTTATCAGAAAGCATCTTTTTGAATTCTGATTGTTCACCTCCCATCTTCAAGTTATAGATTGATACATTCTTAGCAAACTAGTTCTCAGTTTCAGAGATCCCAAAGTAAACCAGAGCAAGATATATTAAGGGAAATGCAACACTGGCTTGAACTCTGATGAAGATTCTATTAAAAAGTGGGAAAATTTTTTAACAGTTGTTCTTCCATAAACAAGAGAAGGTAACAGCTGTACCTTCCCAACCTGCCTTACTTTCAGTTCAGAATCAACAACAAAAAGAATTCAAATAGATGACAATAAAAATATAACTGAATTCAATGAGAAAAAAACCTCTTATTACTTCAACTGCAAATTAAACTTACCCAGTTAGAACTGTAGATGTGCCATTTCCTTCTCCCTCACAGTAGTCCAGCCTGCTCAGACAAGCCTACCATACAAATGAATAGACAATGTACATCCTAAGAATTGGGAGTCTCAAAAACTGAATCATAAGGCACTGAACAAAAGTATACTCAATCCCTTCCCCTAGCCTCCCCTAATCCTCCTTTGGGACTGCAACTCGGGATGGGAAGAAGGGGGAAAGCTATTTCCAAAAAAGAACTTCGTACTTTATGAGTCATGGCAGAAACACCTAGAGACGAAAACAATGGTTCCCCCTTCAACAAGCACAATCTTCTCAAATATAAAACAAATTCTTCAGAAATAATTGTAAAACTCTTCAACAGGAGCACCTCACAAACATAATACTATCTCCTCTTCTTTCATTTCCTATGTCAGAGAGAAGCAGGGATTGGATGGAGAGTTATTAGCCTAGCTTGACCTGAGATGACTGAGCTAAAATGAAGAAAATCAAGTCTGCAAATTCCCAAAGCAGTCCTGATTAAAAACCAGTATTCTATGTAGTCTCTGAACAAGTTATGATACATTCAGCTATAAAAGGTGGACCTCTTTGTAAAACTGCACAATATACAAGTGGGTTTTAATCAATGCATCTTCCTTTTCAAAATTCTCTCCCTTACTTAACCTAACCTCCTTCTCACCCTTATCCCCAGTGAGGACCCTCAACTTGCCCTCTATATGCCTAAAAACCACCTCTTACTTAGGTTTGACCTCTAGCACTCCCATTCCCCATAACCCAACTAGGTATGAATCAGATTATGTGATTAAATTACTTCACATTAATGGGTAAATGAGGCTTAATCCGCAAAGGTCAATTCCACTCATGTTATTGAACTGTACTATGTATAGGGCACTAAGTTTAATCAATTAATGTACCTATTCTTCTTACAAGAAAAACTAACACAAATCAATCTTTTAATGAACAATGTAAGGAAGGGGCACAAGAGCATTTGCTTCACATCACACTTTCTCCACCTATTTCTTTCCATCCTGTTGCCAAACGCTTCCAACCTCCATCTGGCATGGAATAAAATCCAGTAATTTTAATTCTGGTAAAAGTCAATGCCTAGGAAGACAATGTGGAATAGCACAGCAAACAATAAACATTCAAATCCTGAGATGGACTGTAGAGGGTCTCTTGTATTTAATTTTACATATTAGCTGCAAGTGCAATAAAGAGCTTCTAAATAATCCAATTTCTGTACAAGATACCTATAAATCAGCTTTGCTCAGAACTGAGTTATTAAACCATAAATATTGAGACTTTTTTTCTTCAGTTATTTCCACAGTTAAAACATTATAGTAAATACTAGTTCAATTTGCCCTACTATACTTAACAGCCATTAAACTTAACTACTGTTTTCAACTAGATGTGACATTTTTCCCAAGACCCCTTAAGTCTGAAACTTCAAACTTGCTTTAAACCTTTTTTTCCAGACATAAAATTTATGAATTCTGATCTATAGCAGAGCTTCTAAACTGGAGAGCCGAAAACAACTACAGACAGGTTTGGGTTTGATTCAGCTGCAAAGTATTTTTAATGGTTTTAATTGTCAATATTTTTTCTTCTTTTTTCTTTTAACAGGATGTGCCCAATGACAACAGTTGTCAATATTATTAAAAAGCAAGACACTGCATGCAAAAATCTAGATTTCTGGGTTCTCTTGAGAATGCTGAAGATGGGGTCCATACTTATATATGGCACTGATTAGGTAGACCTGAGAATTGGATGTCTCTCTGACAAGGCATAGTGCAGCTCCCTCCCTTTAATTTTCTGACTAGTACCCGAAGGCATGTGAGTTTGTTGCTCATGCTATGGCTTTGAAAGGTGCATAATATTTTCCATATCACCTCCATAATTCCCTAAGTCACTTATTATAAAAAGCCAAAAGAAGACCACAGTGGTTTGCAAATCAATAGTTAATAATTTTTAAAATTCACACAGCTTAGAAAGAAGAAAATTCAGACTGGTGGGAAGAGTAACATAATTAGAGGGATAAAAGTCCATTTGAAAGCTTTTTTGAGAGTAAGAAAAAAGGTGAAAGAACACAAAAACATTATTGAAACACTAAAAGCTTTCCTGATTGAACACTGTTACTCTGGTGGTTCCTTACCACATTCCATGCTTCAGAACCTCCCCTCCTATTTTGCACGTATTGACCTAATAGCAGTTAGGTCATACACGCTGAGAAATCTTCGGAAAATTTATAAAACACATTTATCTTATCAGAAATAATTCTTCTCACTTTTTTTTTTTAACAGTCTTAGTCCACTTTCAAATCCCATCCCAAGTATTTTACTGCTTTCAGCTTTATATTCAAATGACAACTGAGTCTGGATTTCAGGCCTGAACTTCAATCTTTTAGCCCTTCAACTCTTTTGGCCCTTATGGCTGCATTATTATATCTCTTATTCCGATTTCTACAGTCTCTTTCATTGAAAATGTATTCCTAACCCCTCTCTAAAAGATTTTGGTCAAATTCGTGTAGTTGGGGATTGGGAGGAGAGAGGTCGGAAGGAACTCAGTTGTCCGAATACAATCAATATCGTGTGCTGTTGCATTTAGATTGCTAATTTAAATAAAAAGCATGAAAATTCTGAAATATAATACATCTTCATAAAATAATCTTGTTTGCTAAGTGCACAAAGCCACAAGCAAGTGAAGCTGTATCTTTCAGCACGTCTGGACAAGTGACTTTTCATCATGGACTCAGAATACTGAGAAAGGAGAAGCAAGAAATCTGTGAGGCCCAGGGACAGTCACAGTAGCCCACACTAACAAATTACTAAACGATGTCTCACCTTCCCCCACCCCATTCCCAAAGATAAGGGTGTCAGGGCACCTGCATCTTAAGAAGAAAGACATCAGAACCTTTTCCGTGCAAGTTTTGGGAAAACAAAGCTTTCATACGTAAAAAACGGTTACAGCATAAAACCACGCAGCACATTAGTGGGGTCTTACTCCTCACCCAGAGGGAGGCTTCCCACCACCTTATCCCCTATTGTGATGCGCCCTCCTCAGGAAGTCTCTGCGTCCGTCGGAGATGACAGGGAAGGGGCGGGGCACGGGGTTCCTCCGCCCTGGAAAGAAGGGATGAGGGTATCGCCTTCATCCGCAGGGAAAGGCCTCCGGACTCGCAACCCAAAAGCTGCAGCCCGAAAACTCAACCCCCATCCTGGCCTCTTCTAATTGGGTGCCCCTGGCCGGAGCCTAAAACGCCATGCACGGTCCCCGAGGAGGGTCCGGCCGTCCAGACCACCGCCACAGCAGTTCGGCTCTCACGCCCAGATTCGCCCTCCGCCCCTTTCCTCTTTCGCCCCGGCCAAGCCCATCCTCCCGCGCCGCCCCCGCCGAGTTCCCCAGCTGAGTAAACTCACTCTCGAACCTGTAGTCCCCCTTCAGTGCCCACAGAAAATTGGGGCAAAAACCGAGGCCGCTGACACCTCCACTTCCTCCTCAGTCAGATCCCTCTGGAGGTGGCTGTAGAGGCGGCCACTGAGACCGCTGCGAGTAGCAGAGCTGCACCGGCAGGTTGCAGGCCGGCTCCTCGCCCCTTCTCGCGAGAGCTCGCAATCCCAAGAGGCGAGGCCAGCCGCGTTCTCGCGATAACGGTGCTCTCCGCCCAGAGGTGGGCGGGGTATCGAGGGAGAAGGCAGTTGAGGGCGCGGCGGCTTGGCTTGGGTTCTCAGCCTGCGTGCTGGCCGAACCGAGACGAAGGCGCAGCGCGACCTCTCCTCACAGGCAGCAGCTCGGAATCGGCCTCGAGCCCGAGTGGCTGAGGCCTGTTACCCTCAAACCTTTGAATCCTACGTTTTCCCCTTGGCTTTCTGTCACCGTTATAGAAAAGCGGACAGCGTCTCGGTCACAGAGTTGGAGAAATAACGCAGGGACTCTCTAAGGGAAGCTTTTTCCTCGTCAAAGCAAACTCCAAAATCACTTCTGTCGGCGTGGACCGGCTGGAACTGATGAGAGGCGGTTGTCGTGAGGAACACCCACTGTTCCCTAGTGTTCCCCGCTGCTTATTTTTAAACGCTTGGTTGGCGGGAACCTTTGTGCCAACTGACATTCCTTCAGTTTGGCCGCATATGAAACATCAAGAGTCACCTGCAAGGGCTGGCTGGGCAATAAAAACAGGAAAAAATTTAAAAGACACAGTCTCCGCCCTCGAGGCTTACACCCTAGGGGCGTGACCTACAGGAAAATAGATAATCCCATTATTCTCTGATAAAAGCGGAGCTGCTTGCAGTGAGCTCTGGGAGAGACAGGGAGTAACCGGCTGCTCCCGGGGCCGTGTTGAGAAAGCCTTCACCAGGGAGTGACATTTGAGCTGAATCTTATGCATGAGTAATTCTCCAGTTTTAGGAAGAGAGGAAAGGGCGTTGCAAGGAGAGGAAGCAAAGAGGAACAGGACCTGATTTGAGTATGAAAACAGATATTGCAGCAAGAACTTTCTTGAAAAACCTTTAAACGCTGTTTAGCTCCGGTGAGAAAATTCCCACGCTCCTACGGGTGATACCCAAAGTATTTTCCAAATCAATGTTTATGCTGATGAGCAGCTGAGCTGGACAATTAGAGGATAGTGAGCTTCATCTTCCTCATGTAAGGACACTTAGATGTCAGAACCTAAGAGAAACAGGTTATTGTCATAATTCACTAAGTTTTTATAGCCAACATTTTACTAAATTGGAAATTGCCAATAATCTTTCAAGTTGTCTTCATAAGAGAATCTAATAGGAATTTTGTGATTCGGGTATTCTCACAATTCTCAGGCAAAAAACAACAGAAACGTCACCAGACTTGATTTATTATCAAAATTTTCTCCTAGAAGCTGTGCTCAAAAGAAGTCATTTTGTAGACCAAGTTAGGGCTAAGAAGGTCTGTCAAACAGGAACTATTATCTTATATCAAAATAGAAGCTGTCCTTTTCTAAAGACTCTGGTATTTCGCTATAGAATTTCTACTCGCCTTCTTTTAGACACATTATTTTCACATTATTACATATAAAATAATATGTATACTATAGTTTTAATTGGCTTACCCTACTCTCCCTACAAATAAGCCCAACAGTAGGAAAACAAAGTTATTCAAACCCTGTTGAACCTATGTCCCCACCTGAATCTCATGTCCAATTGTAATCCCCAGTGTTGGAGGTCCTTGGATCATGGGGGCAGATTTCCCCATTGGTGCTATTCTGGTGACAGTGAGTTTTGGCGAAATATGTTCTTTAAAAGTGTGTGGTGCCTCGCCAACCCTCCCTCCTCCTCCCACCCTCTCTCCTCCTCCCACCATATAAGAGGTACCTGCTTCACCTTGGCTTTTCGCCATGATTGTAAGCTTCCTGATGCCTCCCCAGAAGCCCAGCAGAAGCCCTTGAGCTTCCTGTACAGCCTGTGGAGCCGGGAGCCAATTAAACCTCTTTTCTTTATAGCAGTGCAAGAAGGGACTAATGCACCTGCCATAGGCCAGTTGGGTGCGCTGTGCCCTGCATTATTTCACATCAAATTCTTGCAATTTTCCAGGAAGCATTAGAAGAATCATGTGAATAAAAGATTTCAGGCAAAATATGGAAACTTTGTTCCATGCTGGAATCTTTTCAAACCACCATGCCCTACTTGGATGGGTCCTGGAGCCATTTCATTCTACTGTTCTTCAAGAACAAAAGAGAATGGGAGTTGGGAGCAAGTAGAAAATTGAATAAAATTCCTACTGTTCCTTGCTTGAAAAGTAAATTAACCTTTCAAGTATTAAGTAGTAGCAATGATAACAGTTATACATTTGGTAGGTAATGCCATTGATATAGACAATAACAAATCTGCTCTACAAAATAATTTGTAAATGCTAGATGACTGCATAGGCTAAGGTTCAGAACTTTAATGAAACTCTTTCTTCCACACACCAAAGAGGTCAATACAGAAATAAAGAGAAGTTTCATATAGTAGCAGTGAACAAACAAGATCATTTGGTAGTTTGTATTATAGCATGCTAAGGCAATATTGTTTCAAAGCAGATGAGACCACAGACCCAGAATCCCAGTTTTTAAAACCTCGAATTTTTTTGTACTACTAGGTTTGAGCACTGCCATCTAATGGCAAGAAAAGGAAAATCACATACCTGCAAAAATAACTATATCCTATTCAGCAAATGCATTTATTAATCAAAACCCTATGTAAGAATACCAAAAAAGCTGTGCACTGTGGCGTGTGCCTATAATCCCAGCATTTTGGGAGGTGGGAGGATCATTTGACAGGAGTTCGAGACTGGCCTGGCAACATAGCAAGACTTCTCTACAAAACTAAAAAGTAAAAATGAATACTAAGAGAGATACAGATATTATTATACGTATTCTTACAAAATTAGATGTATAACTAAATAACAAAAGGAAAACAAGTTGGATCATAGATATAAATAATGTGTTATGGGAGGACAGAGATAAAGATTACTTGTTTTTTTGAGACAGAGTCTCACTCTGTCACCCAGGCTGGAGTGCAGTGGTGTGATTTCGGCTCACTGCAACCTCCGCCTCCCTGCAACCTCTGCTTCCCTGGTTCAAGCAATTCCCCTGCCTCAGCCTCCCAAGTAGCTGGTATTACAGGCATGCACCACCACGCCCGGCTAATTTTTTAACATTTTTAGTAGAGACAGGGTTTCACCACGTTGGCCAGGCTGGTCTCAAACTCCTGATCTCAAGCAATCCACCTGCCTCAGTCTCCCAAAGTTCTGGAATTACAGGTGTGAGCCATCACACCTGGCCATAAGATTACTTATTTTTGTTTATTCATTTTTGAGAAGACAAAGATAAAGATTACTTACTTTTATTTATTTATTTTAATAACTTTGATACAAAAAAATTACTTTAACTGAAAAGATTAGGGAAGTACAGAAAAGGGAGAGGAAAGGAATGATGTCTAATGTGGACCTTAAAGAATAGAATTTATGCATAAGGAGATAATAGGAAAGAACATTCCTATGGAGAGACCAACAAAGACATACAAATGGCTAAATGTAAGAATCTTTATAAGAGGACCAATGAGCAATTAAAAGGAATGAATAGGAAGTAATAAAAGAAAGGTAGATTTAAATTGAAACATAGGACCTAGAATATTAGGGTAAAACAGAAGTCTGAAGACTTTTTTCTGAAACTTGTTTGCTTGCAATAGGGTAAAAATCTCAGAAGTTTCGGGTTTTAACAAATTCTATTAGACTTTTTTAGTGGAAACTGACAAAACAATCCATAATTTACATAGAAATGCAGAAGACCTAGAATAGCCAAAAGATTTATGAAAAAGATAAGCAAAGTTGGAGAATTTACACTTTGAGATTTTAAAAATTTAGGCCAGGCAGGTGGCTCATGCCTATAATCCCACCATTTTGAGAGTCCAAGGAGAAAGGAATACTTGAGCTTACGAGTTCAAGACCAGCCTAGGCAACATAGTAATACTTCATCTCTACAAAAACTTTAACAATTAGCTGGGAAGGGTGGCACATGCTCTTGGTCCTAACTACTCAGAAGGCTGAGGTGGGCAGATTGCTTGAGCTCGGGAATTTGAGACCAGCCTGGGCAATGTGTGTCTACAAAAAATAAAAATAGGCCTGTTGTAGTGGCTCATGCCTGTAATCCCAGCACTTTGGAAGGCCAAGGCAAGAGGATTGCTTGAGCTCAGGAGTTCAAAACCAGCCTGGATAACATAGTGAGACCCCATTCTACCTGCAAAAATTTTTTAATAAGAAAAGAATATTAGCAGGGTGAGGGGGTCACATGCCTGTGGTCCCAGCTACTTGGGAGGCTAAGGCAGTAAGAACCTTTGATTGCTTGAGGCTACAGTTAGCCATTTTCATGCCACTGTACTCCAGCCTAGGCAACAGAGCAAGACCTTGTCTCAAAACAACAGCAACAACAATTTAATGCAAAGCTACAGGAATCAAGATATCAAGATAGTACAGTATTGGCACAGAGCTAAGCATATAGAGCAATGAAATAAAAATGAGAGTACAGAAATAAACACTTAAATTGATTTTCAACAAATGTGCCAAGAAAATTAAACAAAGAACAGATAGTCTTTTCAAAAAAATGGGGACCTGGTACCAAGGCAATTGGATATTCATATTCAAAAAAAAAAAAGAAAGAAAAAAGAAGAACTTACATCCTTA